TGAGGAATGTGGGGGGCAGCAAACGGTCATACCTGCCATAGTCGCTTAAAATGCCAGGGGTTGGGTGGGAAACGAAGGCAGGCCTAGGCACATGCAGATGGGTTGGGTGAGGACCTGGGGAGTTGTTAGTCTATAGGCTTCATAGGAAATGCTATCAGGAAGGACTCACTGACACATACAGGAGGAGACATATAGCCATTGGCCAAAGTCAGTTTTGCCTTTCATTGTACTAAAATCAAATTTGCCACAATGTGGAAGAAAACGGCTGTGCCCCCACTCAGAGTGGGTGGGGTAAGTGACTTAACATCTTAGGGAGGGACTGCAGCACCCAATGATGTTAGGTATTTGCTAAACAACTCATTTATAGCTACAATTTTGCACACACAGACTGTAAAAGAATAGGGATGTTGTATGTGGATGGCCAATGGTGTCAGTATGACCTAATGCTGTGTTCATTTCCTTCCTGATGATGCAAGAGTCCCAGAGCTCCATCCATATAACTTCACCTGTGACTGTGAGGTGATGCCAAATTTTCTCACCAAGCCATTTGTGCCAGAGAGAATAACAACCAGGTGTAAAGGTAAAGGAATGAAATTTCTACAAAAGTGCAAAATCACTTACAATTCGTTGTCACGCATGCCACCAATATGCTGTCTAAGTCTTCTTCCTCGTCTCCTTCTCACTACGTTTTAGTGTATTCCCTGGTTCTGCAGCTAGGGTAGAGGGAGCCTGTTCTGAAATGGAATCTGTTGTCCCTGGAGCTTTGATCAGATGACCTGGAGGTGTTGTGTCTCAGGGTGGGTCTAGTGATGGCAAGGGTCTTCTTGCCAGAGACAAGTAGATATGCATCGGCTTGACCTTCCAAGGGATAGAGATGGAGAGCCCAGCCACATGTGGACTGTCCTGAGAGGAGACATCTGCGATGCCTCTGTGTGGTTCCTCTTTCAGCTGCATGCTGCCTGGCACTGCCTGGTCCCCTGTTGTCACATATAAAAACAAAATACTGTGGATGCTGAAATCTGAAATAAAAACTTCTATTCTGTACAAGTTCTGAAGAAAAGTCATATCGGACTCAAAACGTTAACACGGTTTCTCTCTCTCCACGATGCTGTGTTTTTCTAGCTTTTTCTGTTTTGAAATTTATACTCATTGTTTCTGCTGCAATCTTCAATCTGGCCAATGAGCTCAGATTTCATTTGCTTGACAATTTTGTTGTGTAAGGGCTTCTTTTACCACCTGAATTAAAGTTGTGTGCAGCCAGAGATACTTTACCTACAGTTAAATTGATTTTTCATGTCAAACAATTGTTCAAATATCACATAATTGTGGAGAAAGCAAACATGATCAGTAACCAGAAATCTTCCCTATAGAGTAAAGAAGGCATGCTTTGCCCTTAACCTCCTGCCCAGAGTATAGAACAAGCACTTACAGTGGAAAATATCTTTCAGCGCCAAGATCCTCATTGTTTACTAGGCTGGAAAAATTGGAAAATCTTTCGAAAGTAATTTTGAAAAGATAATGTCAAATCAGTGTCTTTCTTTACACCTTGAAAAACCTCTCACCCGCTGGATGGCCAGAAGTCCTGAAACAGTTAGACAACCTATTGTCAATTCTAATACTCTGTAATGAATGATGTGTACATCTTATTCCTGTAGAATTTCCCAATAGATCCTAGGCCCATTCAGACATGGATTGATCTTGTATGAAGATCATTTTTACCTCATGATTGGTTACTACTCAAGATGGTTTGATGTTAAAAAACTGGCATGAATAACCGCTGAAATGGTGGGTACAGCCTATGGGAAGTTTTTGCCACTTACAATATTTTGGATAACATTGTTGCTGACAATAGTCCACAAATTGCCAATAAGACTTTAGTTGCACTTGCAGTGACACTGAGCTTCCAATATGTACTCAGACAGTAATTGTCAATGGATATTTTTCAGGCTGGAGGAAGGTTTGTAGTGGGGTTTTCCAGAAGCCAGAATTGGGACTCTTGCTACTCATGGTATAATTTAATGATCTAGACCTTGGTGAGTAGGGGACAATTTCAAAATTTCAAGGTGATACGAAGCTTGGAAGAATTCTAAACTGTGAGGCAGATAGAGTTGACTTTCAATGGTCAAGGTTGGTGGAATGGGCGGATAGCTGGCAGGTAAAGTTCAATGCAGAGAAATGTGAGGTGATGCATTTTGCTACAACGATCATGGACAGACAATATAAAAAGAGGTACAATTTTAAAGGGTGGTAGGAGCAGAGGGAACTGGGTGCCCAAGGGCACAGATCATTAAATGTGGCACGACGGGTGGAGAGAGCAGTAAATAAAGTATACAATGTCCTTGGGTTTATAAATAGGGGCATAGAGGACAAGAACAAGGAGGTGAGTTTAAGATGCTTGTTAGACCTGAGTTAGAGCGTTGTATACAGTTCTGGGTCCTACACCAGAGGAAGGATGTGAATGCATTGAACAGAGCGTAGAAGCAATTTATGAGAATGGTTCGAGGGATGAGAAATTTCGGTTATGAGGACAGATTGGAGAAGTTGGGACTGTTTATCTTGGAGTGAAGAAAGCCAAGAGGAGATCTGATAGGAGTTTTCAAAATTATGTGGGGGCTGGATAGAATAGGTTGGGAACTATTCCCACTTGTAAACGGATCAAAAATGAGGGGTCATAGATTTGAAGTGCTTTGCAAAATAAGCAAGTGGGATCCAAGAAAAAAACAATTTTATGCAACAAGTGGTTTGGGTTTGGAATGCACTGACTGGAAGGTTTAATTGAGTCATTTAGGTGGCACTGGATGATTATTTAAATAGAAGCAATGTGCAAGGCTATAGGGAAAAGGCAAGAGAATGGCACTAAGTCACGGTGCTGATTTGAAAAGCTAGTCCAGACATGATGAATAGAGTGGCCTCCTTCTGTGCCATAATACTAGGTAATTCTATGCTATGTTACAAGTTTGCCTTGATACTCTCAGTTCAGTGGAGAGGCAGAACAATCAGTTCAGACAGTAAACTTACTGAAGAAAATTCTGGGTTTTCTTGCTCATTTTCCATGTCACCCAGCTTTCCTTAGGGCTATGCTTGACAGAACTGCTGATGGGGCACAAATTAAAACCTCAATTCCATAAGTTGCCAAGTAAATTGTTTCCAAGAGACAACAGTAAGGCAATTCAGATGGCTTCACCAAAGGAATATCAATTTTGCAGTAAGCAGGCATAGAACTATAATAAACTTCACTACACCAAGATGTTGCCTACATTTGAAAAACTGATCTAGTTAAGTGTCTTTCGTAAGAAGATTTCTGCTAGACAGCAACTGCCTGAACAGCATTGATCATACCTTTGTGAATAACTGAAGGCCCTATCTGTCACAATTTCTGCGACCTCATCAATCACCCTAGCCTGCCCATTTACCATCCTTATCACAGGAGAAACCTGCTCAACTGATATAAAATCAGATAGTACCACAAAACACCAGTGTCTCTGATGGATCCCTTGGTTTCTGTTTCTCATTAAGGACATATCATCAGGCTGCCTAATTGTTGAATCTCTGAACTGATGGCAGAAAGCAGAGAAACTGTAATAACACCAACTCTATCTTCAGCATTTCTTTACTTGGTTATAGAATGATTTCTGATTTACCCATTTATACAAATGAAACAAGTCAATGACTTGGGAGATGTTGAAGAGAAAAGGAAAATATATACAGTAAACATTATAAAAAGAGATAATTTAGATCACTCATTTGAGAATGTACATAACTTTTAATCAAAGTTTATAATAGGGGAAATGGTTGTGGGCATTAGGACTCTGGAACAACCTTGCAATGACGCCATAGAACTGCGCATCTCTGGGTAGAAATAGCAGAGTGTGGGCAGAGTTACACCAAACTAGACCAAACTACACTCTCTAGTGAACATACAAAGGGTACATGGACATGAACACAGGAAGATGATAGATTAGTCCTTACAGACTGTAACTATAACTTTGAGCCTGGTATATCTGTACAAAAAAAAAGCCAAAGAACTGCAGATGATGGAAATCAGAAACAAAAACAGAAATTCTTGAAAAACTCAGTATGTCTGGCAGCATCTGTGGAGACAAAGCAGAGTTAATTTTAGTTCTGAAGAAGAGTCACTGCTGAGCATTTTCAGCAAATTCGGCTTTTGTTCCTTGTATGTCTATGATTACCATGTTGACCAATATTTAGTCTTAATGTATACTAGATCATGTTCCTCTGAAGTCCAAGCTTGAAGACAAGCAACAAGACTGTCTTTAACCTAAACTTGTAGTATGATCAAACCACACAATAAAAGTGTTTTTCCCTATTTTCCTGTGAAGAAAAGCCTCTAGAGAGGATATAATATTAATATATAGTTATATTGTATATAATATTATTAATATATAATATTAACCTCATTTGAAATATGCTCTTTTTTTTGTTTCGCAATATGATCTGACTGGTTGAACTTTTACATTTGCACATATCTGAGAGATAACATCAAAGTGCAGAAAAGGATTAAATTAGAAGTGGGGAGGAAATGAATACAATAACAATCACTACAGGAAAAGTACTGATTCCTTCAAAAAATCAGAAAGAGCTGGACAAAATCAGTAGGTCTGGTAGTATCATTGGAGAGAGAAACAATAAATCTGGTATTAAGACTCAAAACATTAACTCTGTTTTTCCAGCAGTTTTTATTTTAAAATCAAATGAATGTGATAACATCCAAGAAGTGGTCAGTCAGCATTCGCAATAAAAGTCAAACAAGTTTGAGGTTCAGGGCAGCAGACTTTTCTGGGACTGTGCACATTACAATCAAAGTCAGTGAGAAAAAGGAGGGGAGGTTGGGCACTATCATTCGAAGTTGTAAATTTGCCATCATTTACTTCGGGAGCCCAGTTACATGAATTTGAGGGAGAGCCTGGCTCCGAGCATGCAGCTACAAACTGCCTGCAGCAACAACCTCTGCTCGCGCAGACACAAACTAATAAAGTTGATGTTTGTTGACGGTCTAGAAGATGGCGGCCTCCAGGACGCCCTTGGTTCCGTTCGGTCGTTTGAGCAACTTTTTAAACGCTGAAAGACGCGGGGTGAAGCGCACGCTATGGCTGGCAAACCGGGTGTCCTTCAAAGGTGAGGAAGTTGGTCAAGTTGAATGAGAGGGGGGAGGGGAATCGGTTAAGGCCGGCTGTCCTCCATCAGTTGGTGCCGGTGATGAGAGGATTTAGCCCAGGGATGTGT